GCTGAAGACATATTCTTACCTGGATCCTCACGGTTCGTGTACTTGGTTGAATGTGTGAGGGAGTGGGTCTGTGATTGAATGAGTGAGTGGGTGATTGCTCGTGTGTGTGTATTGCGTCAGTGTGTATTGGGGAGTGAGTCTGTGATTAGGTGATAAAGAAGTGTGTGTGTGTGTGTGTGATTAAGTGATGACGTGTGTATGCTGATTGAGTGTGTGATTAAGCACGTTAGTGAGGGAGTATGTGATTGAGTGGAGGCGTCAAATGACCAAGTTGTCTCTAGGTTACCATTATGCCGAAGTTATTCTGCCTAAACATCTTCTAGAGCCAGTAGTGAGCTAGAGGAACCAGGAGATATTCACGAGCTGAAGCTACTAAACAACGCATTTGAAACCTTCACTCAGCAGAATATTGACACAAATCATGGCATATTTTGCAAAACTCTTTCGGTGAAAAACTCCAAAGCAAACTTCACTCAGTCACTCACTACCAAACCTGAGGATTCGACGTTAAACAAACTTCACTCAGTCACTCACTACCAAACCTGAGGATGCGACGTTAAGCAAACTTCACTCAGTCACTCACTACCAAACCTGAGGATGCGACGTTAAGCAAACTTCACTCAGCCATTCACTACCAAACCTGAGGATGCGACGTTAGGCAAACTTCACTCAGCCATTCACTACCACTTGCAAGCCTTTCTGGTATCAGGTAGGGAGGGAGTTCTCTGTCTTGATGCATGCACACTATGTGTCAGCCTCAAATACAGCTTATGAGCTCATCATAATCCCTAATACCCAAAAGTGATCACTATCATTATTGACGTTATTTTGCCACAAGTAAGTATTAATACTAAGAAGGTTATACCAGTAAGTATTAATCCCAAGATGCACGCAGTGATCAGTCCTGGCGATACGCCCATTGTGACGTGGTATGAAGACCTATAGATAGAAGCTCGTCAACAACGACACACAGATGACGAGGACACACATTCGGTCGTATCCCAGCACATTCGTACACACGAGTATGCATGAGGACAGGTTCTGATGTGTCTGAATACATAGTATACAAAACATCACGATTACCAGTTGTGTCACATGTGAATTCCTGTGACAGTTGTGACCGTTACAAGGCATACTACTTACAATGTATTGGAGTTTAGCCGCTAACGTATTTCTCAGCTGTGACACACTTTCAACAGCCAGGTAGGAGGTCGAGTCAACAACACACGCTCGGTAACTAAGAAACCTTTGGACTCCGGCTGCCTAAGATATCTTTTCACTGAGGGGACGTGATAGCCGCATATGTACACCCCCCGCCCCCCACACACACACTAATAGTGTCAGTTGTCCCGCTACAGCTATTATTCCCTCAATCGTTTTGCAGTCACTCGCCTATGGCGTGCCAGTATCATGTAATCGTGGGTTCAAATCTCAAATTTGACCCGAGTAATGTTTATTGGTTTGTCAGCACCGTACCTGTGTCCGCTGTAAGTGGTACACGTCTAAGACCATCATCACGCCAGCCTTTACTCAAGTAGCAAGCTGACACGCCGTGGTTGGACTGAAATACTGTTCAATGGCGATAAAACCAACTCACTGACATATTGTAATGTTGTAATCTTTCACATGTATACGATATGCAACTCTACACTAAATAGGATAGTATGTAACGGTTCATCCAACTATCGATGCACTGGGTTTTAGCGTACGGTGGTATGAGGACAAAACATCGTTGTTACTTCGAAATGTCATTAATCATATCCCCCAACTATAATATATAATGAAAGTCACCTCGTGTAATTCCGGACGATTTCCTTTGCAATCTGTTGAAGCAGGGACACGACATGCCTGTTAGGCTGACAATATGTCGCTGCTTATCGGTAATTATTGTTAGACCTCAGGGAAAACGTGAACATTGTGAATGTAAGACACGATAAAAAGACGTTCCAAAGAGGCTCAGTTTCAATGTTTCAATGTTGAAGAAAAAAAATACTTACTTAGTTTTTGTGCGTGTTGGAATGAATGTTGTTGAGCCACCCACGGACGTATGCAGTGAATCGACCGTTATCAGAAGTAGGGCAGTGCTGTTGTATTCTGGTGTAACTACACAAGTTTTACGAATTTGTCAGAATCTCCACGTACGCGTCCTTCGCAAACAGTGTTCGAGACTAACTATGTTATCCAGTGGTCAGTAATACCTATGCTTGTAATATACTGAACAACAAAAGTTCCTGTGACATTAAATAAGATTTAATGCAAAGTTAAGTTTTTTACCAAATCTGAAACAATTTCGGTTTGCAACAGATAAAGTACTCCTGTAAGTGTTTAAATGGTTTAATTTTCAGAAAATGCGTGATTTCATAAAAAATAACATGAACATGCCAAAATGTCAATTTACAAATCAATAGCGTGTGTGTCCACCTCTGGTTGCGATGCAAGCGACACATCTTCGTCTCATGAAATGGACCAGGCGTCACACAAAGTCCTGTGGGATATCTGTCAATATCTGCTGGAGCATGTTTCGAAGTTCCTGGATTGTCTGTGGAACACGTGGTTGACGTCGAAGGCGCCGATCCATCTCATCCAACATGTGCTCGATTGGTGAGAGATCAGGGGAGCGACCCGGCCAGGGAATGACATTCACGTTGTTTTGTTGAAGAGAATCCTGAACAAGTCGAGCAATAAGAGGCCCGGCGTTGTCATGTTGAAAGGTAATGCCTGGGCCATGACGACGCTAAAACGGTAGAACAACAGGGCCGATGATCTCGTCGCGGTAGCGCTGTCCATTGAGATTTCCCTCTACCACTATCAAACGGGTCCTCTGTCTTGCTGTAATCCCACCCCATACCATAACGCTGCCGACCCCGAACCGATCTTCTTCCATGACACAATGATTGACGTAACGTTCACCTCGACGTCGGTACACTCGAATCCGTCTATCGCTGTGGCTGAGGTGAAAACGAGACTCGTCAGTGAATAGAACTTGTCCCCACCGCATGCGTAGACGCTGTCTGCACCACTGTAGACGTGCTTGACGGTGGTTTCCTGTCAAAATGGGAGGTCTGGCGGGTCTTCTGGCGACAATCCCTGCACATCTGAGGCGACAAAGTACGGTTTGTGAAGATATTCGTCGAAGGCCAGGGATGCTTCTTGCAGTCACTGTTGCTGGCTGGAATCGATTTCGTAGATGTGTTGTTCGAATCCAGTTGTCTTGTCGATTATTGGTTACGCGTGGCCTGCCACACCGAGGATGGTCTCTGACTGCATTCGTCTGTTGCCAACGTTGCCATAAACACCAAATGGTGTTTCTGTGGACGTTTAATTGTCTTGCAACATCACGTTGACTCGATCCTGCTTCAAGCATACCAATGGCTCGCAGACGCTCATTTTCGGACAGGCGTGGCATTTCGTAATGTTGAATAATTGCGTAATTTTGTTGTTTTTCTGAGTGGTTGTTGTCAGCACGATGCTAAACAATGCATATGGAATCCCGTTAACGCACATGTTTTTATACCCATTCTTGGGTAGTGAAATGCACGGGGCTTGCATAAAAGCCAACCTTTGCATGGAATGCATGCTTTTCCGTAGCAGTTCCGTTTTTGTGACTTGATTCCATACAGGTTCTACAATATTGAAAACCAAACTTTACTTGTCTGAAAAATACACTAAAATATTGGTGTCACAGGAACATTTGTTGTTGAGTATACTTCAAGTCTCAAGTATCCTTAATTACTGCACTTGCTGTGTGAGAGGCACACCCGTGCTAGTGGGTGACACTAAAGTAGCGCCGCCTCACATACGACATATCTGTCCTTACATGTCATGCCGTGATATAGCTGAACCATTGCTCGACGGCGTGAATACCTTACTAACCCACTCCTACAACGTCCGTCTCGTAACGTGTTTCCAAAGTATGGCTTTCAGAATAGTTACTAGATTGACACAGATGCGAATTGTGATTTTGTTAAAGCTGTCATCTTTGATGTGAAGACGACTGGTATTGACTTTGCTTTGTGGTCGATTTGATCTGAGGACGATTCCGTTGGATATTACATCAATGTCATGCCAACATCCCTGCATGTGAAGTCTCACCTCAGTTGGTGAACTAGTTTGTGAGATGCAAGATGTTTCATTTAAAACATCCTTAACAACGGCCAATGTTGAGTTCGTCTAAAACGGGAAACCACTGTTCAAAGTTTCGGATTTATCGATACAATTCTCAAAAACAATTCCTAAAGAATCATGGTGTAAAACCTTCTCCAAGACTGCCATGTTCATTCCTTCAGACAGACAGAGTGTTTCATTGTTGGTGGTCCCGCGGCCCTGAGTACAATCTTACACACATTGCCAATGGTGTGCGGACAGAAATTTTAAAGGTACATCAATCATGAATTCTTTTAAGTTACTTTACATTAATCATTAATCAATTGAATCGCCTTTAAAAAACCCTTGGAAATACTAATGGATATCGCTAGGAGTAGATCATAAATTGGCATCAAGCTACAAATCCACATGATTCTACCCTGATGGAAATCTACGCTACTATATCCCATCATGAACGGACATCAATTGTGGAATTTTAAATTTCTTTTAATAAAAATGGGTAAACCTGTTTATATAAAATCTACATGCTTCTGTCTTGATGGATAACGATGACAGTATATCTGTAACAACATATTTCTGCGTCACCCGTAGAAGGGACACTCTAGCAAGAAATGATATTCATCTTCGATCTTACATTATCACAAATTAGGTATCTTGAATCATACACTGATTTACTATGGCGCTGCATTTGTATTTTCAAACCATGTGATAAACATCGTGATTAAGCAAGTATTCTCATAAGATATTTATCAAAATTTGATGTTATATGTAATTCAGGCTCAATTAATATTTTATACGACCCATAATGTCTAAGAAATACAGAAGTATTTGTCAATGATGCCAAGTTTGAATTGAATATAAATGCATCTGCTACGGAACATACTCATAAAATAAGATTTATAATATTAATGCTTTTATTTTTGTGTATCGCCGTGACAACACTCATTTTCTGTTGCAGCAGTGTTTCTCCCTTCCCGTGAACGTACAACACTTACATCCATCTTTATCACTGCATCTTTACAATGTACAAAGCGGTAATCAGAAACCTTTTCATTGCTGATTTAAACATAGTCAATGAAACAGTTATTCTAAAAAAATGAACATTCAAAGACTCGGAATGACAAATGATTTCTGTTGAGATCATAAGATATTTGAATTGGTGTGATATGCTTCATAATATATCAATAATATAGCAAAAATAAATAATCATTCATTCGAAAATCTGAATAAATACTTCACTTAAATTCTGTTACTTAACTTCAAAATATAAAATATCTTCACTTGTTTAGTCATATTTCTCCCTATTGCACGACACCAGATTCTATCAGATGCTTTAGCTGCCTGTCTGAATATCCCAGAATTCCCTGCAGCACTTCCTGTGTGTGTTGCCCAAGAGTTGGAGGGGGGCGTGGCACCACAGTCTGGGACTCACTGTACCTCACGGCCGGTCCTGGCAATGCACAAGAGAAATACATTGTTTTTCATTTCATTTCAAGATTATCATGTAAGACCGAAATGCGATTGCACACTCGTTGCTTATACCTTGTAACCGTTGCGATACAAACAACATGTGTTTGGAGATAAGAACATGGTGTCTGAGCGAATGATTGCCATCTTGCCATAAATCAGCACACAATAACATATTTGATCATATGAACCTCATCTACTATGAAAAGAGACACCATACCCAGGTTACTTAGCTTGCATGGTATGTTCGTGAACTCGCTATAATACATACATCCAGTAAGGTGAACTTTACCTGGAAGCCTGATCGTCCCGGCTGTAGGGTGCTGCAATTCCTGTATCATCCCGTTGTGGACCACCTGGACAGAGAGCTATATTACAGTTTTTCCACTAACGTCCCATTTTTTAATATCATTCCCATTTCCCCTAAAACCGGGCATTTTATAAAATAAGTTAATGTGTAAGATTAATGTCAGTTAGCCTTTTATGATGGATAAGTTCTGATACTCACACACATAAACGTGCCTTAAAGACATTAGGAAGGAGGAATTTTATCTTTGTTCCGTAAAATTACTTTTGTCCTTTTGTCCAAAAGGTTCATCACCGCTGCTTTGACGTCACACGTCATCGTTCTAGTCGAAATGGGTTCCAGCTAGATCTAACTTTATGTTTAGGAACAGATGGAAGTCTGACGGAGAATAAGGTGGACGCTGAAGGAATACAAAGCTACACTCGTGGATTGGAGCCAAGGCAGTGACTGATTTGTGAACTGTCGCATGTTTCTGGTGATAGAGCACACTCTTTCTCAGATTCACACGTCTCTTAGTCGTAATTTCATCCCGTAATTGCCTCCAAAGTACAGGATAAGATGCCCTGTTTACTGTCTGGCACTTTGTCCACCATGATGACACCCTCGGCAACAAGGAGGCCATAACCTTTCCAGCTGGCCTGTGTTTGCATTCTTGTTTTGGTGGTGGTGATATCAAATCCTTCCACTGTTGTTTGGACTCGGCTAGAAGTGGTGACCCACGGTTTCATATGTAGTCACAAATCGTTTCTGAATCAGCTTCAACAGACCTAGATTATCACGAGATATGTTATGCCTTGTGCGCTTTTGAAAAGACGTCAGACGTTTTGGAACCCCAAGAGCTGATACCCCTCTTCATTTCCAAGGTTTATGTGATTATGTACTCTCTCCGTGTAATTATCTGCTGAAATAACAATATAACGAGTCATTCGCCGGTCATCAGATATATCCATATCGTGGATTCTCTGGATCACAGACCTTCCATGACGGGGGTCGTTTTCAAAGCTCATCCAGCCGCGCTTTACGTATTTACAGTGGCTTAGGCAGGGGCTTCCTTTCCTAGTGTAGTACTCATATCTTCATGGATAGATTTTGGTGTTAAGCCTCTTTTCACTTGATCGCTAATAGTGTCCATGTTCCAAATGTCACAGACCCGTGATTATATGTCTGACTTGTCACAGCGAAACAATTTGCTAAAAACACTTACGGTGTTTGGATATACCTATATGACATCATGTAATGTCCACAACAAAGGACTTAACTAGTACTAGCACCTTATGTGTGAGGCTCAGAACTTATTAAGCAATCCATTTCCATAGATGTGCGATGTGCTTGCAAGATTTAACCATGTACTCGACTGGAGAGCATCATCCACATTTAAAATTAGTGTATGCCCAGTGTGACTTATGGCGTACATGTGGGTCCATATGTAGGAAAATAATCAATATTGGCATGTTTGCACTTTCACCTGGGGGTCGGAGAAGACTTGCTGTATGTTGTTGATAGGACCGTATGGTATTCCTGACCCCTCCAGCACCTGCATCCACTGTGAGGTGGTCTTCGTCTCAAACCTTGATCACAATGCAGCCGGAGCGTTAACTAACGTTATATACTAGTAGCTAGTACATGTGAGCTTTGTATATTCTTTTCTTTGCGTTACGTAGATGTGGTTATATCAACCAGGAGCATTTGTTTAATAAGCACTTCATTTGCCTTCAACCCAAACTTATCTCGCAGAAATGAACCTCTTTTGAAACTGCATAAGGATAGATTTTCCTGAGACACATTTTGTTGCATGAATCATGTAGTAGTATGCAGAGAACGTAAGAACGGTATTTAACTGAATGTGTATACGATTTGATAAAAACCAAGAGCACGGGTATGGAGATGGCAAACCACGTTTCATGGACAGGGGTAAAAACATTATTCGAACCCAAGATCGATGGATCCTGATACGACTAAGGCAACTCTACATATACACAGCTAGTTATTGTGGGAGGAAAGCCCGAAGTGATGCAGGTCTCAGACGTTTACCACTTCGGTGAAACCCACGGGGACGGTAATGGTGCTGACAAACCTAGAAACATAATCGGGGCGAACCGGGAATCGAACCCACAATCATAGGTTTCTGGCGTGCCCAAGGGACGCAACTCTGCACAGCGAATCGCGGCGCATTAGACGACTGCGCCCCCGTGCCCCCTCAGACAAAGAGAGTTAAATTAAAGTTAATTATAAGAAAAACCATAAAGTTTGAAATGCCTGTAGGGAGGTGGATATGGTTCTGTAGATACTGAGAAAGCGAGGTAGCCAAAATGAAGTTACTAGACGGGTACAAGCACTACGCCACTACACCCCCTTTCGTCTAACTCATCCACAGAACCCCCAGCATTACCTGTGTCCCAGTAAAGGCAGCAATATGTCTCTGTTTGCCACTCTCACTTTGTTATCTTGAAACCTCTCGTCCTCCAACAACTCTGGTAGTTCCATCCTCTGCAAGAGAGGTCTTATATGTCATCCGTCGATGCATCACTGACGCCAAAATAAAGACAACGTCCCATTTAATAAAATTAGTTGTATCCACGACTTTATCCACACTCATTGTTCCTAGTGCTAGTATCTGTTATGGTGACAAACTATCAAACGGAGTTTCTGACAACCTTAGTACGACAATGCATAACAGGTGTCTGTGTTCTCCTCACCAAGGCCCACTTCACAATCTCTTGTGCGCCCCAGGTTTTGCTGGTCGTGGGGTTGACTCCCAATTCGTCACAATAATAGTATAATGTTTTAGAAAATCACAAAAATATCTATATGTATGGTCGTGGATTTGACTTGGGAAATTAGCTACTACCGCCTCACCTGACACAGAAGCTGAAACTGTTTGTCGTTTCCTGCTCCCACCATAAAATATCCCCCGTCCTTGGTCTTGAAAGCCTGAAATAACATCAGCAAAAGATTGTGGAAGACTCGGTGGCTGAGTGGGTTAGATCGCTGACTTTGTGTGCTGGCAGTAAAGTACCTCACTCTGGGAGTGTGGGTTCGGACCCTGGAAGGGACTCAACTCAAAAAGTACAAGAATCTGTACTTTACTAAGAAAGTGCTATCCCAAAAATAACATTTGTTATCATCAGCATCTGATCAACCAGTCACTGAAACATCAGATCAAACGGTCACTGAAATTAACAGTAGAAATTGACACTGAAACATCAGTACAACCAGCCACTGAAACATCAGAGCAACTGGTCAAAGTATATGGTTCAATCATTTTGAATCGGAATACAATAATATAGAACATTCCCCAACCAATCCTCTATGGAACACTGCTTTCATGTGCTATTTTATCGTCCGATCCAAGTGTGTAAGTAGGTAGCACTTACCTGGTACGGTACAATGCTCTCATGTGCTGTTCCATACCGTTTCGCCTCCATCCCAGCATTCAGGTAGTTCGATGCGATATTCACAAGCGAGGCCACCTACGTAAAGGTTCAGGGACATGTTGTAGCTGACAAGTACACGTGCAGCAAAGGAAATATAAAGACAGAATAAAAAAAAAAATTACGGCCGAAAAAGTTTGATTTCATTTTCAGGTATGTACTTCCGTTCCTATAAACAGTATGTTTTTGATTTATGAACACTGTTTTGTTCAGTCAATAAAGTGTTCTATTTGTCTAATCCTGCCACTAATTTAACAATTTGTTAATTGCATTTATTTAGGAATATATTAAGCAAATGTTCAAATATACAGTGCATTCACATATAATGGAGGCCAGACAGTCCCAGCAAATTTGAATCAAGTAAATCAGCTCACGATGTGTGTCAATCTTGCTGTTACTGGGTAGCCTAATTACACAGAGACTTGGTTCACAGTTTCACACAGGGCATTGATCCCAGCATCGGGATACAGACCCCTTATTTCCCCCGATCATGGAACATGGGTTCACCCTGAAACTTTAAACAGCAGATCGAATTTCAGTTCATTAGACCGTAAGATTCTGTGTTGCGTTCTATAGAAATGTCTGTCAAATCGGCACCTTAATAGCGGTTAACAGAAGCTCCACTTGTGGAAAAAAAGGTAAATTTAGATGCAAAAAGGAAGGGCACCGGTAAACCTGAGTGGATAGGAGGTTACAGTCGATGTGTTGACCTCTCTCAGTTAACTGACGGTGTTGTAGTGCAACCATGATGGCACCAAAAGCGTACAGTCCTGTTGACAAGTCCGTCATAGCCACGCCAAGTCTGCAGGGGTCCCCGTCACGTGGTCCCGTGACATTCATCAGGCCTCCTACACCTGCGGCGATGGCGTCGTACCCAGCTCGGGATCTGTAGGGTCCTGTCTGACCATATCCTGTAATCATAAAGCAATATTTAACCCTAACCCTAACCCTAAACCCAACCTTGACCCTATAACCCTAACCCGAACTCTAACCCGAACCCTGGAACCCTCAATATGTCAAGCAATGATTATTTCTGTCAACATTGGTACAGTGTAGGAACCATTAATGTAGTTCCCTGATCATGCTTTCAAGATGGCAAATGGTTTTCCGAGATTGACAAAAGTTGATCTCCATCTCTTCTCATTAATACGTTTTAGTGGTACCATATCCTCGTTCAGTATACATATTAGATAGAATATGTCTTACCTGTGATTGAGCAGTATACCAGCTGAGGGACGAGAGCTTTCATTTCATCATAACCAAGACCCATCTCCCCAAGCTTCCCTGGCAGGTAATTCTCAATCAGAACATCACAGGAACCGGCCAACTGCTGGACAATCTCAACACCTTTCTGTTTCTTCAAGTCTACTGCTATACTCTGCAAGACAGAACAGAGGCACCAGGAGAGACCATCTCAACACATGTCTGTTTCCTCAGGTCCACTGCTATACTCTGTAACATAGAGAAGAGGCACCAGGAGAGACAATCTCAACACCTTTCTCCAAGTTTACTGTTATACTCTGTAACAAGAGCAGAGACACCAATTTGGACGATGGACAATCTCAACACCTTTCTGTTTCCTCAGGTCCACTGCTATACTCTGTAACACAGAGCAGAGGCACCAGATGACAATCTCAACACCTTCCTCCAAGTTTACTGTTATACTCTGTAACAAGAGCAGAGACACCAATTTGGACTATGGACAATCTCAACACCTTTCTGTTTCCCCAGGTCCACTGCTATACTCTGTAACACAGAGCAGAGGCACCAGATGACAATCTCAACACCTTCCTCCAAGTTTACTGTTATACTCTGTAACAAGAGCAGAGACACCAATTTGGACTATGGACAATCTCAACACCTTTCTGTTTCCCCAGGTCCACTGCTATACTCTGTAACATAGAGCAGAGGCACCAAGGAGAGACAATCTCTACACACTGTTTCTCAGATCTACTGCTTTTCTCTGTAACACAGAGTAGAGGCACCAAGATGGACGATAGACAATATCAACACCTTTCTGTTTGTCCAAGCCTACTACTATACTTTGTAACACAAGATGCAGAAGATGCAAGAGAGACTACACATTTTAAACAGACCTTTTTGTTTCTGTTGACAGATAGGAAGTACGCACTCTCTGTGCCTTTGAAAGGGGGTCCCCAGCTCCTACTGTCATCTCCTGCACCTGTAACAATAGGAAGTTAATGATAAAGTGAGTGAATAAGAAGAAAGCGGATGTCCGTTGGCGGCAGTGCGCATGTGTTCGATGAGGTTGTTAAGTTCGATGGGTAGATGAGCGAGTGGAAATATCAGTGGAGTGGTGGAACGTCCAAGTGAACAGAGAAAATGATCTTTAGTTTGTCGTGTATCAATCACTCTCAACGCAGGATACTACTCATTTACATACAATTTTCTATACAATCTATCCACTACCTATGTGTAAACGAGTATGGCTAGGGTTGTTCCATTTCGCAAATATGACTATTAAAGGAACTACGATTAGATGTGCGTGTATTTGACCAGACTCACCTGGTCGTTCCACTTTGATCACATCTGCTCCAAGGTCGGCCAACAACATAGAACAGTACGGCCCTGCTAGAACCCTGGTGTAGAACAAGGTGTAGAACATGACACACATCAAATTCGCCGGGCCTGCTAGAACATCACAACAATACGGCCCTGCTGGGACACCACATAGTACTAGTACGACCCTGCTGAAAGATCACACAGTAAGGCCCTGCTGGAACATCGCAAAGTAGGACCCTGTTAGAACATCTCAAGGTACGGCCAAGCTAGAACATCACACAGTACGGCCCTGCTAGAACATTACACAGTACGGCCCTGCTAGAACATTGCACAGTACGGCCCTGCTAGAACATTGCACAGTACGGCCCTGCTAGAACATTGCACAGTACGGCCCTGCTAGAACATTACACAGTCCGACCCGACAGAACCTTGTAACGAGGTGTACATCATAATACATATCACACAATACGGCCCAACTAGAACATCACACAGTACGGTACTACTAGAACATCACACAGTATAAAGCGGGCAGGTGACGAACTCATCAAAAAGTCCTTTACCTTCTGTTATGACAGACTATACATTGTATCACGAAGATCTATGAATACAGACATAATGCGCTGACTTCACGTTCCGGACTGGAATATCCTTTGTTCCTGCTATGCAACGGCGACCTGTAAAATGTCAGTACGAGCAACGCCGATCACCTAATCTCCATTTTGGACAGCTCTTACTGACGTTTGGACATATACAAGCGTACATACGTATAAGCATAACGACATTTGGATGCACAACACATATTCTTCTAATTAGTGAGTGAGTGATTGAATATGGTTTTACGCAACTTTAAGCAATAATCCAGCAATATCACAGCGGGGGACATTACAAATTGGCTACACATTGTACCCATGTGGGGAGTCCAACCCGGGGCTTCGGCGTGAAGGGCGAACGCTTTAACCACTAGGCTAGAACACCACCACTCTTCTGATAAGTGGAAATACAATAACTTGTCCCAATCTGCACTTTCATCTCCATGTTTATATACCTGGTGAGATCTAGAATTCGTATTCCTTCCAGTGGACTGCTTCGCTCCGACTGCTGTGATGACGTGGTCAAGAACTTTCTTGTAACTAAATAACCAGAACATTCACTGCATCAGTTGAACACAGATAAGACATGAATGGAAGAATGCTGATGCTAATGTTCATCACTGACCTTTGAACCTTCTTCTACACTTCAATATGAGTTTCTAGAATTTATGAAATCATCATTGTCTGAAGATAAATCATAAACGCTAAGATCGGGAGCAATTTATTTGATTTTTTGCCACTATGAAAAAATAAAGCAAACCGAATGTATGCATGTTGACTTGATAAAAAGATCTGTTCGTTAAACAAAAGTAATGACAAATAGGTTGACGATATTATCATAAACAACACAAGTTGCCCAAACAATACATAGGTGATCATGCACGTTGAGATAAGTTAATTAAGTCAGGCAAAAACTAAATACTCTGTCGAACAAGATATTGCACTTTCACTGCAGAGTGAGTGGGTCTGGTTTACAGTCATTAATGTGAAAGAAAAGAATGCGGAAAGGCATTATGCTATTAGCTTGTATTTCATTTTTAATTCGCAAATTAAGATGCTAAATGAAAACAATGATATAAACTGTAGAGAGTATATATTTTTACCGTTTCGCCGATTGGTGATGATAAATATTTCGGTGAGGCCTCGAGATGCCACGTGTCCAAAACTACAGAACTAAACGAATAATACGTTTCCACGTACACGTACCTGCTGCAGGTTATGAAATCAAGAAACAATCATAAAACTGTTGGCCTTAGCATGCAATTATTCCAGAATATGAAATAGAAAATGTTTTTATTGACATGTAAAAACTGGTTGGCATTCCTACTTCATGCCAACCAGTATGAAAAATATATTACTTTGTGTGGCAGTTATAAACTTGTGATCATGGCGATCGAATTCCGTGTTATTTTGTGTGACCTATTTATGGTAAAGTGGTCATTCTTAATGTGCAGAATCCTCTCAGTTCAGCATATGTGTAGCCTCACACAAGACATTTTATGAGCGCTATATTCAGCAAGAGTTCTCTCCCCTTCTTCCCCAATTTTGTGATCACATAACAGTAGTTTCCATCGACACCAAAGCTAATCACACAAACAATGATTTTATATCCAGACTTTAAGATAAGTGCCTACCGAAGCTACATCTGCCTCCGTTGTGTCGATGCAGTAACTGAACGCCGCAGGTACTAACAAGCTGTGCGATCCTGCTGCACTGTGACCCAGTCATGGTGGTGTGGCGGTTTCAATCACAGTTACCTCCCTTAGATAACGGACTGCGGACTCTCTACTGCGTTTACAAAATGTTACATGCCTTCCGAACAGTTTTATTCCATCACGTTATTCAAAGTGTTTATGAAGCACTGTAATTGATTTGTTAAATATTTAGACTGTCACAATATAACAACAGACGAAAAACTGAAGAATGAAAATGTAAACTTAATTATGATGCATGTGACATATGAAAATATGATAAGCATCAGATAAAGGGAGACAGATCTTGAAAGACTGTGAAGATCCTAATGAAACAGAACCATCTGACTGTGATCATGTTGAGAGTTCTGATGAGGAGGTTGTTGATGTAACAACAAGCGAGGACACTGATGAAACTGAGGGATATAGTGATTCTGTAAAAGAGTTCTCTCCCCTTTTCCCCCAATATAGTGATCACATAACAGTAGTTTCCCTCGACACCGAAGCTAATCACACAAACAATGATTTTATATGCAGACTTTAAGATAAGTGTCTACCGAAGCTACATCTGCCCCCGTTGTGTCGATGCAGTAACTGAACGCCGCAGGTACTAAAGTACACATGGAAATGAAAAAAACCTGTTTTGCTGGATTTAATAATCGACACAAAGCATTACGTAGATGTAAATACGAAATAACAAAACAACTGGAAAAGTACTAGTCTGGATTTGCTAGTTTTATCTCAGTGCTCAATACAAAATGTACTTTACAGGAGGTAATTTGTAGGCACTTTCAACATTCAAAAATAAAACTAAGTCCAAATTGACATGGCAGAAACAGGCTATAGGCATTATGCAAATTAGCCTGGAAAAAAAGTTATATATCAAAACAACAATAAAAATAACAGCTATGTTTATGTACATAATAATAATGACATGTAAGTTGTTGTTTGAGAAGGGAATATGTTACTTTTACGTTCTGATATTTTGACGATGATTCACTATCCCACAATGCCACTCACAAATCACTAACCATTGACAAATCACATGCACGTGGGTTTCAAAGCACCTGTTTTCACCTGTCGTCAAGGTGTCATAAGTCATGGACATTCACCTTGATCTTCTAACACATGGTTATGCTCAGTTTCACAATAGTCTGTTTTGTTCATATTTTTACACACTTTTACGTGTAAAAAGACATAAAAACCTTTGATACGCTGTATTTGTGCCAAGGCCCAATTAGTACTAGTTAAGTTGTTTGAATATTTATATATTTTGAATATTAACTGCATTTATTCAAAATCTGAGATCGAAAAAACAGGTTTTTTTCATTTCCGTGAGTACTTTAACAAGCTGTGCGATCCTGCTGCACTGTGACCCAGTCATGATGGTGTGGCGGTTTCAATCACAGTTACCTCCCTTAGATAACGGACTGCGGACTCTCTACTGCGTTTACAAAATGTTACATGCCTTCCGAACAGTTTTATTCCATCACGTTATTCAAAGTGTTTATGAAGCACTGTAATTGATTTGTTTATGGAGCACTGTAATCGAGTTGTTTATAAAGCCTACCTTTAATTATTACATGAAGATGGGTAGGTCCTCGCAAATGAGGGTGATTTTCAGAGAAATCAATCAATCATCGATTAGAGGTATTCATGTCTGGCGTCAACTTGTTCATGTTCGAAAACTTATTAATTGGCAAACTGAGCCGCTGTAACGTAAGTTAACACGCGTGGCCCACGTACAACTGACATTCTAACACTCGCCAATGTTGGTTTATAAAAGTGTTAACTGGCATTTGTTAAAGTTAATGAATTAAATGTAACGATATGGGCATATTTTTGCATGTTGTTTTGCATGTTGTTTAAGTGTAAGTGATACAAATATACTAAATCTGAATGGTAGAAGCGTGCTGTTTTATACAATCGGATGTGCCGTGAAATGGTCGCTTGTTTCCTGTTGATACACTTGTTCTGGGTTACAGCCGCTATAAGTGTCGAAGGTGGTTAGGGATGGGATCTTGGGACGTTTTTAGTAAATTCGAGTATGAATAAGAAAGAGAATAACCAACACGAAATATATTTACAGTTTTTTCAATATGAGAGTGAGTGAGTATGGTTTTACGCCGCTATCACGGCGGGGAACACAGAAGTGGGCTTCACACATTTTCAATCTGATCTCTGAAGGCAAAACTGATACATTACACCCATTTAGTGGTTGAGTGTGCAAGGGAGTGAGTCTGTCAAAGGTGGCAAACGTCTAAGACCAATCTCACGTGATATAACCGAAACACTGCCCTACGGCGCCAACTCGCCCTTCGCCTAGTAACGTGTTTCCAACGTATGTTCTTTTGAACAGTAACTGCATTGACACAAATGTGAATTGTGATTTTGATAAAGCTGTCATCTCCAGCCATCAATTTGGGATAGTGTGGTTTTTGTATTGACAATGTTATGTGGTCTGTTTGATGTGAAGATGATGCCAATTAGATATTACTATATTGTCCTGCCAACTTCCTTGCATATAAAATATCGCCTCAAATGGTGAAATAGTTTGAGATGCAAGATGTTTTATTTCAAAACATCCTTTAACAAGGGCCAAAAATAACATTATGGAGTCTCAAATAACATATAATAACTATCATCCGTACAACGTTTCTGGTTCATCACTGTTATTCTCAAAAACAATGTATCATGGTGTAAAACCTACTCAAAGTGTGCCATGCTCCTTCCTTCAGCCAGTTCGGAGGAGAGAATGGACAAACGACGGACAATGCACATAGCTCAAAAGCTCAATTGGACCGACAGTCTTGGGAACAGACACACAAAACGACCTTAGCTATGACTATTGTAGGTTTATGTTGAAGTCGTCTAGGTACAACAGTTGTAACTACAGTCGCTTTGTACAAGTGGTCCCCGATGAGCTGACAATACGCAACAATATGCGACGCAAATTTTGAACGATTTGGTTGAAACAAAAAACAGTCATGTATGTACATGTATTTGTGTAAATTCACAAATTTGTTGCAGGCAGTACCAGCTTACCAGATTGGAGCTCATGTGTAAACACCGACAGACTCTACAAAAGTCCATAGCATGGATGTGCATTGCTTCTGTTTTTCATGCATGTTTGTCATGTATTTATTTATGTAAATAATAAAGTTGCACAAATCGATCTATCATCACATATATGATAGATTTATTGAACTGAAATCTTGAATACAGCAAACATATTAGGCTCGATTGAGTAAGGAAGTACGATGGAAATCATACTGCAGGGCCCAATGTGTTCAGAACCAGTAGGACGTTGATCAGCAGATCTCATTGTTATTTGCTGGTAATATGGTAGTCATAACAGCCAGAACAATCGAAACAGGCACTTGTAAAACCTTTTCATCTGATGCAAATGTCAATAAGCAAATGCACAAGAGATATAAAGGCCATGGTTCACACTAATTACACTTCTCATCACATTAATGGGAAACCAATGGAACGAAATAGCAATGAGGCTGCCATGAGAACAATTTAGTCGATTTCCATGGGTGAGAGACCTTTCAATACAATACATTCAGTTACAGCTTTATAACCTTTGTCATTTCATTTTGATTAAATTGAGATAACACTCAGAAGTACTGTTCAAAGGGGCATTTTACCCAGCCACTCATGTTTGCTGCAACAGTCGTACTGTCCAGAGACAGCTTCCTAATGTATTGCAGCATACAACACCGAACGTAACAGCGTACAATGCAGAATAAACAGAAACCTCTTCATGGCTGATGATAAACATGGTAAAAAGAAATTATTCCACAATAATGAACTTTTTTATAGACCCATAATGACTAAAGCTTTCTGTAAAAATCCTGAGATATTTGAATTGGTGTGATATGCTTCATAATGACTAAAAAAATAATTATAAATAATCATTCATTCGAAAATCTGGATAAATAATTCATTCATATTCCGATAAATAAACTATCAAACTATCATAAATTATCTTCACTTGTTTAGTCAAATTTCTCACTATTGCACAACACCAGTATCTATCAGATGCTTTAGCTGCCTATCTGAATATCCCAGAATTCCCTGCAGCACTTCCTGTGTGTGTTGCCCGAAAGTTGGAGGGGGGCGTGGCACCACAGTCTGGGACTCACTGTACCTCACGGCCGGTCCTGGCAATGCACAAGAGAAATACATTGTTTTTCATTTCAAGATTATCATGTAAGACCAAAAGGCGATTGCACACTCGTCTTTCATTTCAAGATAATGTGTGGTCAATGTGCGCATGCACATTCGTTTAGTATACCATGTACCCATATACCAACACCAACATTGAAGATAAATCAGCGCACAATAACATATTTGATCACATGAACCTTCCCACTATGAAAAGAGACACCATACCCAGGTTACTTAGCATGCATGGTATGTTCGTGAACTCGCTATAATACATACATCCAGTAAGGTGAACTTTACCTGGAAGCCTGATCGTCCCGGCTGTAGGGTGCTGCACTTCCTGTATCATCCCATTGTGGACCACCTGGACAGAGAGCAATATTAGAGTTTTTCCACAACAGTATTCCACTAACATCTCATTTTTTATATCATTCCCTTTAAGAAACACCGGGCACTTCATAAAAAAATGTTAATGTGTAAGATTTATGTCAAGTAGCCATCTATGATTGAAAAGATCTGATGCTCATATAGAAAATCTTGACCTAAAGATTTATTTTTCATCATAATCCAGTTTCGTAAAAGTCATTCTCTTATCCAAAAATCGTTCTCCACAGTCTTCGCTCGAGTCGAAATGGGTTACGGCTGAAGCTTTCTTAATGTCTGTGAACAGATGGAAGTCTGACGAAGAATAAGGTGGGTGCTGAAGGAATTCAAAGTCTCACTCGTGGATTGGAGCCCAGGCAATGACTGATTTGAACACTGGCGCATATTTTTCTTGTGGAAGAGCACACCTTTTTTCAGGTTCCCACGTGTTCATATTTCATCCCGTAATCGGATCCAAAGTACAGCACAAGATGCTCCGGTGGAAGATAATTACCATGATGACACACTCGGCATCCCAGAACACGGAGGCCATAACCTTTCCAGTTGATGTGACAGTCTTTGCCTTTGTCTGAATGGTTGTTAGGCAAGTGGTGAACCCGGGTTTCATTCATACTCACAAATCGTCACAAGAATCGTTTCTGAATCAGCTTCAACAGACCTAGATTATCACGAGACATGTTGTGCCTTGTGAACTTTTGATCAGATGTCAGACGTTTTGGAACCCTAAGAGCTTATACTTTCTTCACTGCCAAGGATTCTGTGATAATGGAATGTACTCTCTCCTTGGAAATTATTGAACTAGCAATATAAAGCTCAGTCATCACCATATCGGGGATTTTCGGAATGTTTTCGGGTGTTGTTGATGTCACAGGCCTTCCATGGCAGGGGTCGTCTTCTAGACTGCCATGCTCAAACTCTGGTGCCCACATCTTTACGGAGGCTTAGGATGGGGCTTCCTTCCCTAATTTTGCACTCAATTCTTCATGGATGGATTTTGGTGTTCAGCCCCTTTTCACTTGATCACTAAACATGTCCATGTTGCAAAGATCACAGATCGGTGCTCATTCTACTGACCTGTCACATTGAAGCAATTGGCTCAGATAATTTAACCATGAGCTCGTCAGTACAGCATCATCCACATTTACACATAGTATGCCCAGTGTGACGTATCACGTAGATGTGTCTAGGACAATAACAAATATTGACATGTGTGCGCTTTCACCTGAGGATCAGAGAAGACTTGCTGTATGTTGTTGATAGGACCGTATGGTATTCCTGACCCCTCTAGCACCTGCATCCACTGTGAGGTGGTCTTCGTCTCAAACCTAGGTCACAATGCAGCAGGAGCGTTAACATTACATAGTCCATGTCAGCTATTCCATTTATTCATAATCCTAGAGTTGAGGATGTGTTCTGCACTGCATAGAATATGTCAATAAAGAACATGCATTTAAAAACACTCCATAAGCCTGTTTTAAAAATGTCTCGGTATATATTTTCCAAAGCCACATTTTGTTGCATGAATCATGTAGCAGTATGCAGAGAACATGAGAACGGTATTTAACTGAATGTGTATACGATTTGACAAAAACCAAGAGCACGGGTATGGAGATGGCTAACCACGTTTCATAGACAGGGGTAATATATGATTCGATATCATGACCAGTGGATTCTGACACAACTAAGAGAGGCAACTGATTATTGCGCTTAGATCACTGTGTCACCCATCATCCCACTTCCCTGGAACCCATCGTTCTCATTTACACAACATTAGCAGCTTGTGTTGGACACGATACTCCTGTGTTGTTCAGTCACGGAACATAGCTAGTTCAAAAGTGTGCCAGGGGAATGTGTCAATTCTTTAGTTGAAGCTATTTGAGAAAGGAAAAGTAGGTTATCGGGCAAAGAGGTTAAAATTAAGTTAATTATATCAAAAGCACATGAAATTTCAAATGTCTGTACTAGAAATAACTTTAGTTCCCCAGAAGTGTTATAAATAAGTGAGTCCAAATCTGACAGTGAAGTAGCCAAGATGAAGTAACTACCCAGGTACAAGCTCTACCCCTAGGGAGAGTTGGTCCCTACCCTCTAACCCATTCATCCACCCTCCCACTCCATCTTTGCAGGACTCCCCAGAGTTACCTGTGTCCCAGTAAAGGCAGCAATATGTCTCTGTTTGCCACTCTCACTTTGTTATCTTGAAACCTCTCGTCCTCCAACAACTCTGGTAGTTCCATCCTCTGCAAGAGAGGTCTTATATGTCATCTGTCGAAGCAAAGTTTATAAATCACTCAGTATTTTTCTCACTAACTAATATGGTGGCAAACTAAAAAATCCAGGGTTTGTGTGAAAGGTTAACGCGACAATGTGACAATGTGTGTTTGACTGCGGTGCTAAAGGTCTATGAACTGCGTCACTAGGGATTACCCCATACAAATTAGCTCCTCACACCTCACCTGACACAGAAGCTGAAACTGTTTGTCGTTTCCTGCTCCCACCAGCATATATCCCCCGTCTTTGGTCTTAAAAGCCTGAAATAACATCAGCAAAAGATGTTTATAGAAACATCAGATGACCCAGTCACTGAAACATCAGTACAACCAGTCACTGACACATCAGCAACTGAAGCAACTATCAGAGCAACTAGTCAGAGCAGATGATTCAGTCATGATTTTGAATCGGAATACAATAATATAGAACATTCCCCAACCAATCCTCTATGGAACACTGCTTTCATGTGCTATTTTATCGTCCGATCCAAGTGTGTAAGTAGGTAGCACTTACCTGGTACGGTACAATGCTCTCATGTGCTGTTCCATACCGTTTCGCCTCCATCCCAGCATTCAGGTAGTTCGATGCAATATTCACAAGCGAGGCCACCTACGTAAAGGTGCAGGGACATGTTGTAGCTGACAAGTACACGTGCAGCAAAGGAAATATAAAGACAGAATAAGATTTTGTTTAAAGGCCCCTTATTTTTTATTTCATTTACAGGTATGTATGTTCAATACACTGCTTTGTTCAGTCAATAGTGTCAATCCTGCCACTGATCTAACAAATTGTTAATTGAATTGATATAGGAAAATTTTAAGCATATCTTTGAATATGCAATGCATTCAAGTGAAATTAAAAAGAGAGGCAATTGACAATACCAGCAAATTTGATTTGTAGTAATTCCAAAGTCAACAGCTGTGTGTCAATTTCGCTGTTACTGGGTACCCTAATAACTCAGAGACATGGTACACAGTTTCACACAGAGCACTCATAAACACTCATTAAATTCAAACAGCAGACCTAAAACCAGTTTTTAATCCATTAGACTGTTTCTTGTCTTGAGATAGTAAGATTCTAAGTTTTGAATTATGTTTAGATATTTTGACGGATATATTCTGATATTACTGCGTTGTGTAGAAATGTCTGTCAAATAGGCACCTTAGCGGTTGACAGAAGCTCCACTTGTGGAAGGAAGACAAAAAGGAAGGGAACCCGTATACCTGAGTGGATAGGAGGTTACAGTCGATGTGTTGACCTCTCCCAGTTAACTGACGGTGTAACAATGCAACTACGATGGCACCAAATGCGTACAGTCCTGTTGACAAATCCGTCATAGCCACGCCCACCTTGCATGGGTCTCCGTCACGTGGTCCTGTGATATTCATCAGACCACCTACACCTGCAGCGATGACGTCGTACCCAGCTCGGGATCTGTATGGTCCTGTCTGACCATATCCTGTAACAATGAATATGTCTACCATTATTTAATCCCAACCCTAACTATACCCTAACAATGGAAACATGAATATTAACATAACAAGTAACCCTTACCCTAACCCGAACCCGCACCATCCTGGAACCATGAATATGTCTAATATGTACAGAGATAATTTCTGTCAACATTGGTGGAACCATTAACGTAGTTCTCTGATGCCAACCTGATGGAAATAATAATCAAGCTCTCATGATTGAATATGGTTTTCCGATATTGGCAAATGTTGTTCTCCATATCTTATCATTAATAGGTTTAGAGTGGTACCAGATGCTCAACCAGTCTTACTTTGTATTAGATACATATTAGATAAAAATTTCTCTAAACTCATCCAGTCTGATAAATGTTTTACCTGTGATTGAGCAGTATACCAGCTGAGGGACGAGAGCTTTCATTTCATCATAACCAAGACCCATCTCCCCAAGCTTCCCTGGCAGGTAATTCTCAATCAGAACATCACAGGAACCGGCCAACTGCTTGACAATCTCAACACCTTTCTGTTTCTTCAAGTCTACTGCTATACTCTGCAAGACAGAGCAGAGGCATCAGGCAACAATCTCAACCTCAACACCTTTCTCCCAGTTTACTGTTATACTGTTACTGTAACAGAGAGCAGAGGCACCAAGATGGACAATATCAACACCTTTCTGTTTGTCCAAGCCTACTACTATACTCTGTAACACAAGATGCAGAAGATGCAAGAGAGACTACACATTTTAAACAGACCTTTTTGTTTCTGTTGACAGATAGGAAGTACGCACTCTCTGTGCCTTTGAAAGGGGGTCCCCAGCTCCTAGTGTCATCTCCTGCACCTGTAACAATAGACGCCTTGGGTAATAAAGTGAGTGAAAAGCAGGAGGTTGAGTAAGTCATGTTGAGGTGGGGTGGTGATGGGGGAGGTGGGTTGGAAGGTGAAATAGTAGGAAGGGGGATGTCAGCTGGTGGCAAGGCGTATGTGTTGGCATTGAGGTTGTCAAGTTGGATGGATGGGTAGATGAGCGAGTGGAAAGGTAAGTTTGTCGTGTATCAATCATGATCATTCTCAGCACAAGTTGTTGTCCAAGCCTCACACAGCACAGGATACTACTCATTTTCATGCAAATTCATCTACTAATAGTATCTAATACCTATAAGTAAATGAGCATGGCTGGAGTGCTTCCATTTAACAAAATGGTTATTAAAGGAACTACGATTAGATGTGCGTGTATTTGACCAGACTCACCTGGTCGTTCCACTTTGATCACTTCTGCTCCCAGATCGGCGAACAACATAGAACAGTACGGCCCTGCTAGAACCCTGGTGTAGAACAAGGTGTAGAACATGACACACATTAAACACGCTGGGCCTGCTAGAACATCACACAATACGACCCTGTTGGAACACCCCATACTACGGCCCTGCGTAAACCCTGTAACGAGGTATAGATCATGATACACATCACAAAGTACGGTCCTTCCAGAACATCACATAGCACGACCCTTCCAGCACATCACACAGTACGCCCCTTCCGGAACACCACACAGTACGACCGTTCCAGAGCATCACACTCTGCACCCCTTCTAGAACATTACAGAGTACGCCCCTTTCAGGACATCACACAGCACGCCCCTTCTAGAACAGCACACAGTACGCGCCTTCTAGAACACTACACAGGACGACCCTTCCAGAACATCACACAGCACGTCCTTTCTAGAACATCACACAGTACGTCCCTGCTAGAACATCACACAGTATGGCCCTGCTAGAACATCACACAGTACGGCCCTGCTAGAACATCACAAAGTATGGTCCTGCTAGAACATCACACAGTACGGCCCTGCTAGAACATTACACAGTATGGTCCTGCTAGAACATCACACAGTACGACCCTGCTAGAACATCACACAGTATGGTCCTGCTAGAACATCACACAGTACGGCCCTGCTAGAACATCACACAGTAAGGCCCTCCTAGAACATCACACAGTACGGCCCTGCTAGAACATTACACAGTATGGTCCTGCTAGAACATCACACAGTACGACCCTGCTAGAACATCACACAGTATGGCCCTGCTAGAACATCACACAGTATGGCCCTGTTAGAACATCACACAGTACGGCCCTGCTTGAACATCAAGCAGTACGGCCCTTCTAGAACATCACACAGTACGCCCCTTCTGGAACACTACACAGGATGACCCTTCCAGAACATCACACAGCACGCCCTTTCTAGAACATCATACAGTACGATACTGCTAGAACATTACACAGTACGACCCTGCTAGAACATCATACAGTACGGCCCTGCTAGAACATCATACAGTACGATACTGCTAGAACATTAAACAGTACGGCCCTGCTAGAACATCATACAGTACGATACTGCTAGAACATTACACAGTACGACCCTGCTAGAACATCATACAGTACGGCCATGCTAGAACATCACACAGTACGGCCCTGCTAGAACATTACATAGTACGTCCCTGCTAGAACATCACACAGTACGACACTGCTAGAACATCACACAGTACGATACTGCTAGAACATCACACAGTACGGCCCTTCTAGAACATCACACAGTACGACACTGCTAGAACATTACACAGTACGATACTGCTAGAACATCACACAGTACGGCCATGCTAGAACATCACACAGTACGGCCATGCTAGAACATCAAGCAGTACGGCCCTGCTAGAACATCACACAGTACGGCCCTGTTAGAACATCACACAGTATGACACTGCCAGAACATCACACAGTACGGCCATGCTAGAACATCACACAGTACGACACTGCTAGAACATCACACAGTACGGCCCTGCTAGAACATCACACAGTACGGCCATGCTAGAACATCAAGCAGTACGGCCCTGCTTGAACATCAAGCAGTACGGCCATGCTAGAACATCACACAGTACGGCCCTGCTAGAACATCACACAGTACGACACTGCTAGAACATCACACATTACGGCCATGCTAGAACATCAAGCAGTACGGCCCTGCTTGAACATCAAGCAGTACGGCCATGCTAGAACATCACACAGTACGGCCCTTCTAGAACATTACACAGTACGCCCCTTCTGGAACACTACACAGGATGACCCTTCCAGAACATCACCCAGCACGCCCTTTCTAGAACATCATACAGTACGATACTGCTAGAACATCACACAGTACGCCCCTTCCAGGACATCACGCAGCACGCCAATTCTAGAACATCATACAGTACGGCCCTACTTGAACATCAAGCAGTACGGCCCTGCTTGAACATTACACTGGAACATCTTACAGTAAAGTCCAGCTAGAACATCACACAGTACGGTCATGCAAGTACACGCATAAACCTGGCAGGTGACGAACTCATCTAAAAGTCCTTCACCTTCTGTAATGACAGACTATACATTGTATCACGTAGATCTATGAATACAGACATAATGCGCTGTCTTCACCTTCCTGACTGGAATATCCTTTGTTCCTGCTATGCCACGGCGACCTGTAAAATGTCGATGCCAGACAGCGCAACGTCGCATATTGTAATCACCTTATCCCCATTGAAGACAGATTTAAGGGACATATTCTGGCATGGAATCCCCATGCAACGAAGTACAAGCATAAAGTCGTATTTCTACTACATACTTCTGATTAGTGGAAACACAATAACTTTCATCTCCATGTTTATATACCTGGTGAGATCTAGAATTCGTATTCCTTCCAGTGGACTGCTTCGCTCCGACTGCTGTGATGACGTGGTCAAGAACTTTCTTGTAACTAAATAACCAGAACATTCACTGCATCAGTTGAACACAGATAAAACATGAATGGAAGAATGCTGATGCTAATGTTCATCACTTACCTTTGAACCTTCCTAGTAGATTGAGCTTCTAGAAATTATGACAACATCATTGTCTGAAGATAAATCATAAACGCTAAGATCAGGAACAATTTATTTGCTTTTTTGCCAACATAATAAATTAAGCAAACCTAATGTATGCATGATGACTTGATAAACAAATCTGTACATTAAACAAAAGTCATGACGAATAGCTTGTAGATATTATCGCCCAAACAATACATAGGTGATCATGCACGTTGGGATTAGGTAATTAAGTCCGGCAAAAACTAAATACTCTGTAAACAAGATATTTTACTTCCACTGAAGAGTGAGTGAGCGGGGTATAATATGAGTGTTGTGGGAGAGAACGAAAGAGACATTTTAGTTTTATTTAATTCATTTTGTATTTCGTTTTTAATTCTCAAATTAAGATACTAAATAAAAACAATGAAATAAAATGTACGGAGTATATCTTGTGAAACCAAATGGCCGATTGGTGATGAGAAATATGTCCAAGAGGCCTAAAGATTCTACGAGTCCATGAATGCGGAACTAAACAAATAATATGTTTCCACGTGTTTTCTGCAGGTTATGAAGTCAAGAAATGATGATAATACCGTTGACCAAAGCATGCAACTGCTCTAGTATATAACATATTAAAAATCTAGGCTTTATTTAATAGTGACCGTTACAGCCATTGGTATTAGCTTATCAACAGAATACACACATTTTTGTCTGAATCGTTCCAGTCAAATATGAGCTTAATGAGATGTTAGTCCACAGTTGTCCGTAAGCTGGGACTCTTACATCAAGGGCATTAGTTGGCCTCATTTCGAACTGAAACCTTGATCCAAATTCCAACTTCACGCTAACCAGCATGACAAATATATACATGTAGTTTGGCTTCGTTATTTCAAACTTTTGATCATATCAATCTTATTCCGTGTTACTTTATGTGACCTATTTCTGGTAAAGTGGTCATTCTTAATGTGCAGAATCCTCCCAGTTTAGCATCTGTGTAGCTGCACACAAGACATTTTATGAAACGCGATATTCAGCAAGAGTTCTCTCCCCTTCTTCCCCAATATTGTGATCACATAACACGTGATCGACACCAAAGCTAATCACACAAACAATGATTTTATATCCAGACTTTAAGATAAGTGCCTACCGAAGCTACATCTGCCTCCGTTGTGTCGATGCAGTAACTGAACGCCGCAGGTACTAACAAGCTGTGCGATCCTGCTGCACTGTGACCCAGTCATGATGGTGTGGCGGTTTCAATCACAGTTACCTCCCTTAGATAACGGACTGCGGACTTTCTGCTGCGTTTACAAATTCTTACATGCCTTCCGAAGAGTTTTATCACTTAATTCAAAGTGTTTATGAAGAACTGTCACAGAGTGGTTGATGAAGCACTGTAATCGAGTTGTGTATGAAGCGCTGTAATCGAGTTGTTTTTGAAACACTGTAGGTAATCGTCGGTTCGGCTCCGACTTAACATTGTGTACATTTCATATGAAATTGAACTACTGATTTCAAGAAAATTAGAAACACTTTTAGTGTCAGGCTTGGACAAATATTTAGAGTGTCACAATATAACAACAGACGAAAAACTGAAGAATGAAAATGTAAACTATATTATGATGCATGTGACATATGAAAATATGATAAGCATCAGATAAAGGGAGACAGATCTTGAAAGACTGTGAAGATCCTAATGAAACAGAACCATCTGACTGTGATCATGTTGAGAGTTCTGATGAGGAGGTTGTTGATGTAACAACCAGCTAGGACACCGATGAAATTGAGGGATATAGTGATTCCGTAAAACAACACTGCAACCCGTTATGTTCCCATGTAAACAAAAACACAAAGGATTTACGTAAAAATGCTGTTATACCCCTCCCCCACATACCACCCCTCCCCTCTAGCCATGAAGTTTGAACGGTCCCTTGTCGGGCTGTTTTTGAAAGGCTGCAAGTAATCAGGTTGTTTCTGGCTGTAATCAAGTTGTTTATAAAACGCTTTAATTGGGGTGTTTATGAAGCAATGTAATCAAGCTGTTTATGAAGCGCTTTAATTGGGGTGTTTATGAAGCAATGTAATCAAGCTGTTTATGAAGCGCTAAAATCGATTTGTTTGTGTATCATTGTAACCGAATTGTGCATGGCGCTCCATGAGCATTGTGTTTTAACACTGTAAACAAGGTGCTATTGAAAATGTTATGTACACTGTGGATACGGAACAGTTTTACCGATTAGGCCATGTAGGACTATGTCATTATTAGTTTTTTATTATGCAAAAAGAATATTTCAAGACTATTTGTGGTCAGCAGACACGGAAATAAGTAATGTAGAATTCAGGAGTAATGAAAAAGAAAAGCATTATCATTACTATTAGCAACTTTAAAGTTGTTTGTAAAGCTTTGTAAGAGCCCATCATATTGATCGAAGACAAGTTTTCAAGGAATATCGAGTCGAGCTTTTAGCATCTGGGGATGCCGTTATGTTGTGTGCGGGCGACATAAGATATTTTACGTGCGCTTCTGATGTATGACATTGACTCAATTCAACAATTTGTTCATAATAATTATATAAATGCTCACTTATATTGCGCTAGCACCCATACGCTCGTGCATGTGCAAAGCGCTACAGTTAAACGTAAATCAGTTCATATAGATAGCATTAGTTAAGTGGTACAGTGCCCCAGAACAGTTTCTCCACCACTTCTCTGCCTCATGCAAGTTATATGCTTCAAGTTGACAACTGTAGGTAAGACAGATCCTGGACTCAAATGGAAGCCAGTGTAGTACATTCATGATGTGGGAGTATTCGATGTTTGGACACAATGCGAGCTGCAGCGTTTCGCAGCTTTTGACGTTTCTACAGTGACAAGCTAGACAAGCCCTAGAGTCATGATCTAGTCGAGGAAGTACCAATGTCTGAACCAGAGTCTGTGTTGTACTAGCAAGCAGTGATAGGATGACGGATCTACCCATTACTACAGAGATGACTCGTAGTAGTCTGACCTTCACAGATTGTCTAGTTGTGCCTCCATACTGAGTCGAGAGGCAATGTACACTCCGAAATCCGTTACATCTCCTGCAAATGGAATCTGCGATTGTCCAAGGATCCACGTGTGTTGTTTTCACTGATTGCCACTGATGTTTCCTGCCTTACAAGTCATCCTTCATGTTTCTCGTCATTGAGGTTCAATTTGTTTTCTGTCACCCAGTGTTGAATGTGTGCAGCACATTCAGTTGTAATACTGCTGGGTTGAAAGCCACCAACCAGCTGTGTATCATCAGCATAAAGTTGGCGGCTGATATCTCCTTCTTGTGCAATATGTCCAAGACCGTCCAAGCCTTGGGGAACACCACATAGCAGATTAGTTAGCTCCGATTCCTCATTATCTATGCTGACAGTCTGCCGTCTTTCATTTAGATGTTGAGGGATTTCTATGTATGGTAAACTGAACCCCTGAAATCAAAGGTTCCGAAATGGGGACACATTGTTTAACATACTTCTTTGTGATCTCACTCCGATATTTGTTCACCTTCGGACGCTGCGGTGGAGACCGATGTTGACTGTTTCATTATAGAAACGGTAAACAGTAACTGTGATTCATGTTAAGAGGTGGAAATGTCATGTTATTGAAAATAACAATGGCCCTTCTTGTGATCAAGGTTTTATCATGACACATTCATTGACAAAACCCATACCTGGTAACATTAGACAGAGCGACACGCCCTACAAGAGGGGTGGTGTAATAACTCAGTTAAGAGGTCAATATTGCACGACCACCAGAGGTGTCCAGACGAAACTTGGACTTACATGTATCTGTGAGCAGTCACACCTTGACGAACTCCCCATGGCAAGTCATGAGTGTTGCCCTATTGTCGATAACTTCTCCAAAGAGATGATGTTGTGTTTCTGTGAACGTTAATATATCTGTCAACCTCGTTTTGCGCCATTCCTGTTTGCAGCATACGTACAGCGCGTTGATGTTGATGTTGTATTCAGCAAGCCGTTGCATTGAGTAAACTTTCTTTACAGTTTTGCAAAAGTGTGTTTGTGAGTCACCTGATAGCTCAAACATCATTGTGTGCTGGTCACATCTAACAACAGCGTATGTGAATATCATGGTCCCAACAAAAACCCATACATCCAAATTGTGTGTGGTGGCAATCTTGACCCTTTTGAATGGAACTTTCAAATCATATACCTTATTTCATTTAACCATAGAAATATTCACAATCGTTCATCAGTAAGTGGTTTACGTGGACAGTATGCGGTTACAGGGATGTCACTTCTCTGTTGCTGCATGAGGTATTATGTCGGTTACGAATTAGACCGAGTTGACCCGAATGGGAAAACCTCTTTTCAGTGGTTATGTAGTATCAGCTCGTCCATGCAATCGCTGGCGAGACGCAGCAAGCGTTATTGTCTTATTGACTTTTGTCTTTAAAACCATGAGATTGAGGTAAATTTTAGACGAATCGAAACAATATGTTGCAAGCCATTTCTAGCGATGCGGGGTCCACTCGGGTTAGGGTGCCCGAATATGCAATGGATTCCCCCACAGACCACGTTGCACGAATCTGAAATTGTTTCTCTGCTATATTAAGTACATGTCAAATGGTAAAGATGAAAGCTTATATGCAGCTATCGAAACACTTAATAAATTCTACAAAATGTCTGGCTTAAAAAAATGTAGACAAGACAAAAACAATATGGATAGGCTGAAAAGCGGGTAGCAATGATCGATTATGTCATGATTTACAAATAGAATGAAACAATAAATAATTTGAAGCATTAGGAATTATGTTTAATCCAAACCAAACTTAAGTGGACTCTCGGTTATCAAAACAAAAAGAAAGCTAGAAGAAATAAATAGGTTGCATGCAAATTGGAGAAAAAGTAGTCTAACATTAATAGGAAAAATTACAGCTAAAAACTTTAGCATTGGCAAAACCAGCTTACATATTTTCGACACTACCAAACCCTCCTGGGAACTTTGTCTTATCACTTGACAACATATTTTACAATTTTATCTGGAATAATAAAAAGAGACAAAATCAAATGAACCACTTTGACAAGAGATATATGAGGAAGTTGGATTACTCATGATTAACATTAGAGCCTTTATTGACGCACTAAAACTATCTACGCTCAGATTATATTGTAAAAAAACTACATGGGGTAACCCTTGAAATATATAAGTAAAGATATACTATCTTTAAATGCTAATGTTGAAAAGCAATCTAATGTTAAAAACCCTATTTGAATATCAAATGAATATAATCTTAATGTGTGTGATAAATGGCTGAGATTATAATTGGAAAAAGATATTTACTCTTTATAGATGTAAACTGAAGGGGGTACAGATTTCTACATCGAATTATCTAAACAAAGAAGAAACTATTAACAATGAATCTTGTAGACAACAGTGTTAATAGCTTTTGCAATGCTGTCAATGGGGACATCAGCCATTTCTTTTGGTAATGTAATGAAACTAAACAATTTTGGAATGATCTCGAACTTTGGCTTAACAATTATGTTTCACAAAAACTAAATTGACAAAATATCCTATATGGTTTGGTTCTAACTACTCTAACACTTTAATCTATCATATACATATTCATTTATGTGGAATCAAAGGAATTAATAAAATAGATATTTTTAAAACTACTTAAAAACATATATTCAATCGAGAAATTAAAAAAGGATGACGAAAATAACTTAAACAAAAAATGGTCACTTCTTATTCTCAGCACTTGATTCTTAGCTCTCTGTTGATACTATGTTCCAGTCTGATTGTGTCTTGCAACCTTTTTGGTTTGAAATGTGACAATGTTTGCTTCCAAACCTTTAATTTTTTAAAGAGTGTATTGTATCATTCTATGCAATCCGAAATGTGGTTTGACGGAATACTGTATTACTCTGGGAACAATAAAATAATTCAACAACAAAAGAAAAAAGTACATGCGTTCTGCATCAAAGAGCTGGTGTTTTGATTGGTTGGTAAGCGACAATCTGACTAGACGATTGTCGGGTGAAGGAGGTCACACTACGCCATTCACAAACTTTGAAGAGTTCTATCACGGTACGGTGTGTGTACAGTCTGGAAACATAATTAATGTGACACATTTCGCAGAATTTACCACGTCGATAAAATCCCCGGATTCGAACTAACGATACGGGAACTCTCCATATCGAATTGCTGTGACATCCATGTCTCCTGCCATGTATACAGTATTTGAATTGAAGCTGTGTTATACAAAGGGCTGTGACAATCTGT